TCTTTTGACCCCTAAAACCCCTAAAACCCTCAAAACTAAACTCTAATACAACATAGTTAACCCAAACATAAATGATAAAATGAAAAAATAATTTTGAAAAAGTGGCATTTTTGCAAAGATTGTAAAAAGTGACATTTTTGTAAAGTGGCACTTGATAAATAGCATTTTTTTTTAATTTCTCAATAGTTCGTAGACTTTGAGTATGAGACATAGAAATATCTCTAATAATCGGATTAGGCTGATTAAGTTGGTGGACATAACGGAGGTCGAAATCCAACACCATTAAAAAGTAAAATATATATCTTCTTTTTTTTTGTCAACCTAAAATTTATATCTTATATTATTCTATTTGAAATTGAGAGAAACCATTTGGTAAAAATAAGTCTCACAAAAGTAAAACTAACGGAAAAAACAGAGAAGAAAAGTCAGAGCTACAAGGGGATGGTTGACATTCACAACAAGACTAGTTGAGTCGGCTTTGATTTTGTTAGTTACTTTTTGTACAAATTAATTTGTATTCATCTTTTATACGATAGCTATGAAGTATGAACTACTGATCCGAGAGGTTTAACAAAACTTGAATTTCAATTTCGGTTTCTGAAAAGTTTTATATGTATTCCGATTTTCGGATTTAATTTATGTGATTGCAATAAACCAACTACATGGCCAAGATACTACACTTACCTTGTCAAATTTTCACTGATTAGTTCCCTTTTTCGAATTTTTGCTTCTTTGAGTTGGGATCAAGCAAAACTAACTCCATTGCAAAGACTACTGTTAAGAGCGTTACTAGAGAAGGGCGGTTTCACAATCGGATTCAAGACGAAGTGAATCTCAGTTCCTATGTTTCTCATGTTTCTTATTTCCTTCATAACTCTAGTTTTTGCCTTTGAATCATCTTTCATGAATTCATGAATCAACCATTTACACGAAATGGATGGATAAAGCTATTAACTTCCTGTAACTTGTTACACTACACCGCCAATTCGTCATGGATGAATCATTCTTTTCTTTTCTTTAATACAAAATTTTAGATTTACAAACTTGAATACTAACTCTAACAAAAGAAAAACAACTCGAGAAGAGAGAGATCAAAATATTGAAAAAGTGGTAATTAACTAATTATTGATCAGTGACCACGTCCTCTTTTGCTTGGTCCAGACGCTAACCGGAACGCATAGCTCCTCGTCAAAGGATGTTGACGACTGCTCGAGTTGTTCTCCACCTTCGTGGCCGCTTCCGATCGATATTGGCCTTTGATTTCTTCGAAAGGCTTCGTTCGTAGGGCTCTGCAATCAACTATCCTAAACATCAACGAGGAGCACACCAATAAGAAGATCATACACATCACAAATACA